GCTATTTGATGACGACGAAGAGGCTGTGGCCGAGGCCGCTCCCAAGGCCGCTGCTGCTGCCGGCAAAGCGCCAGCGGCTGGCGGTGCAAAGAAGAGGGCGCCTCTCGGTGGTGTGCGAAATGCCTTTGCAGGCGCTTCGTTTTCACCACTGAAAAAGGACAAGAGAGGTGTAGGAGCAAGTTTTCTCGCATAAAGTCTGGGTAGCCAGATGCATTTGGAGTTTCCAGGATACGGATTGTTTTGCATTTTAGGTGTTTGGGTACACGGATCATTTTCTGGCTGGCTTTAGAGGTCATGATTGCATTAGCCTTGTAGGAATACAAATGAATTTCTCGATGCATAATTTATTTGTCCTGGTACTTGACCAAATTTGAAATGACACTTAATCTTTTGTGCATTGATTCTTGCTTCTTTGTTGGTGTTTGATATTCGCCGACATGGTCGTGCATTCATTGATGCATAACCCTCGCTATATGCATGAAACTAGCATGGCATCAACCAGCGCATCTTGTCAAAACTTGCAATCCTGTCCAAGATTTCGTAGCCCATCCAACATCATCCTAATTTTTCGATAAATGTTGGAAAGCGTGTCTTTGCGCTTTCTGAAATCATTGGTTGGATGAAGGGGCTGCCGAGGACGGGATTGGTGCTCGATGGCGCGCTTTCGAGGTTGAGAGTGCCGACAGCCTGCCTGTCGTTGAGGCGACCCATTTGCCAGGCGCCAGTCGCGTCGTGCATTGGCAGCGGCGTCCGCTACTCGTCTTCAAATTCGCGATGGAAGCAGCGGCAGGGTAACGACTTCTTTGCCCGCGAGGCCCGTGTGCAAGGCCTCAAGAGTCGGGCAGCTTTCAAGCTGCTCGAGGTACGTTGGCCCTGATCTAGCATTTGGCGACAATGTGCTAGCTGCTTCACCTTGCCTGTTTGAGCCCGAGGCCATGATGGTTGACAAGCATATCAGATGGACTCAAAGTACAAAATCTTCAAAAGGGGTCAAATGGTGATTGATCTGGGCTATGCGCCCGGCTCTTGGTCTCAGGTGGCCCAGGAGCGCACCAAGCCGACCGGCCAGATTGTCGGTATTGACCTGATTCCCGCCCAGCCGCCAAAGGGCGTGTCGACGATACAGGGCAACTTTTTGAACCCAGCGGTCCAGAACCTGGTCAAGGAGTATCTCAGGGAATTTTCGAGAAAACAACCAGAGTATAAGAAATCGGCCGAGGATGAAGAGGGCGCCATACTTGATGCCGAGGAGTTTGAGGCTCTCATCAAGGGAAAGCCGAGTTACATTGACGCCGAACGGGCAGACACCGCCGAGCATGCACCGTTTGACGACGGAGGCCGGTTAGTTGATGTGAGTCCTGGTCATTCGCTGGCAAGTCATCTCAGGCCCTTTTTGCTGACAAGATACACAGGTAGTATTGAGCGACATGTCAGAACCTTGGCCACAAACATCCGGCTTTTCCAGTAACACGTTGAGTAACCCGTATCGCAGGATGATGAACACGAGCGGAATGAGCTTTCGGGACCACGCCGGCAGTATGGTAAGTACGAAGAAGGGAACGGGAATGGCGCCATTTCAGTAGCCCCAAGCTCTCGCTGACTTTTGCATCAATCAGGATTTGTGCCTTGCTGCACTTCAATTCGCCAGCGACACATTGAGGTCCGGAGGCCACTTTGTCTGTAAATTTTATCAGGGCTCCGAGGACAAGGATCTAGAGATGAAACTCAAGAAGATGTTTAGAAGGGTGGCCAGAGAAAAGCCCGAGTCTTCCAGAAATGTGAGTAGTTGCGCTTGCAGAAAATTGTCAGCATAAAAAGACCGACACTAACAGCTTGATACCTGTGACAGGAATCAAGGGAAGCATTTTTTGTAGCTCTTGGAAGAAAGAGCGATGTAAAATTAGAGGAAATCACCAAATAGAAATAATGATGAGTCGACCTACTCACTGCGTCAGGACGTTCTTGTTTGGGTAAAGGGGAGATCCTTCTCTGAGAACTCAGCTAATTATGAGGAAAGTACAAAGGAGAATGACATATTTCCGGACATAAGACTGCGACGATGCCAAGTGCCGTCGCAACTCGCAGTTTCCCGGATTTCCTAGACAACAAGAAAGACGTCAATCGAGGACCGGCTGCTCCAACATCCTTCGCTTCTGCACTTGACTCTAAACATACAAACAAAAACACATGATCATGCACCAGTACTTCGCTTTCTTGGCTTTTTGGCTTTGATCTCTTGGTCGCATTTTGGATCAGATTAAGGGACACGAATACTTGCACCATCACTAGAATGGCCATCGATCATGACGAGAAGCCCGAGAGCCACGAGACTTGGAACTCATCTACAGACACCTTTCGGGAAGAGCTCGAGGACGTTTGCCTCAATGAAGATGCTAAAGCGCCAGCTCCTCTGCCGCCCGGCACCCGGCCAGATGTGTTGACGAATATTGTCCATGAATGTTTCTTTGTCGCTCTCATTGCCTTTGCGGCCGCCTCGTCTGTCTTTCTTCAACGTTCCATGATCGTGGTGGCTGCCGACATCAACAAGAGCCTAGACATGAGTCCAGCAGAGACGGCTTGGGTCAGCGGAGCGTCTGGGTAAGTCTTCCTCTTTCTCTTGCCCCTTTCAAGATCATGCGCAATCTTGACGAACAATGACAGCCTGACCACTGGCGCGTTTCTCATCCCCTTTGGTCACTTAGCAGATATCTGCCCGGTCCTCTCGCGCAAATACCTGCTCATCATCAGCCTCACGGCATTCTCCCTGATCGTTGCCTTCACCTCATTTGCCAATAGTGGCATCGTGATTGATATCATGTCTGGATTGGCTGGCCTGGCGTGCGCTGCAACGATACCCATTGCCGTCGGGATATTAAGCTTGGTCTACCCTGAACCGTCCCGCCGCAAGAACATCGTCTTTTCTTCCTTCTTGATGGGCAACCCAGCAGCGATAATTGTCGGCGGCCTTGGCACCGGCGGAGTAGCGTCAAGTTTCAGTTGGAAAGCGACGTTTATCTTTCTAGGCATATTGTATGCCATCGTCACAGTACTCAGCTGGTGGATTGTTCCCAATATTGCCGAATCCCGCTCCAACTCCAAATTGCGGCGGGCTCAACAGTGCGATGTAGTCAGTCCATTTGTCCTTGTTTCCAAGAAGATTCCAAACATTGGAGGAGCTTTTCAAAAGTTCGACTGGACCGGTTTATTTCTTCTTGTTACCGGCGTGCTCATGTTCACAGTCGCCTTGACCGTTGGACCTGAAGGCCCCCAGCCGTGGAAGACTCCGACTGTGATACTCCTTCTGACCTTGGGACTTCTTTTCCTTGGCAGCTTCATCATGTGGGAGAGTTCGGCAAAGAGACCAATGATACCACCGGCTATATGGGAAAACACCAGTGTCGTGTTGGTATGTTATATGTTTGGTGGCAAACAATCTATGCGGGTTTCTAATAGTGTGCTACCAGGTGAATGTATCGGCCTTGACTTCAGCAATGGCATACTATCCGACGGTGTTTTGGATCACCATGTTTCTACAAAAAATACAAGGACTAGAGCCTTTCGACGTGGCCGTCCGTCTCTTGCCACAAGCCCTGGTAGGTATCTTCTTCAGTCCGTTGGTTGGGCTCATCATGGACCGAATATCTGGAACAATTTTACTCATCGCTGCTGCATCATGCTCGGTCCTCAGCAACCTGCTCCTTGTTTTCTTGGACCAGGATACGAATTACTTTGCTCTAATTTTTCCGTCGCTTCTTCTCAGCACTATTGGTATGGACTGGACAATGAATGTTGGATCCGTAAGCGCCACCCCACAAAAACTTGCTCTCAATATTGAATCTGACCCTTAAAAGCTATATACTCTATCAGTACTGCCCCTAGAGCATCATTCGATCGGCGCTTCTCTACTTCAGACCACTCTGCGTCTTGGTCTCCCACTTGGCCTGGGGGTTACCACGGCTGTTTGGACTTCCTTGAATGGTCAGCACGATCCAACGTTGCCTTACACCAAGACATTCATCGTTACGACTGCTTTTGCAGGGTTTTCTCTCTTGCTGGCTCCTTTCATACGTATCGGACAACAAGGTGTTTCTCAACCCCAATCGCCGAAAGAAGAGAACTCGGATAAATATCGACCGAGCAAGCGATGGTCGTATGTCGAAACTATTTCATCTTCCACCAGTAGCAGTAGCAGCAGCAGCAGTCCGACGAGCAGGAACAGCCCAAAACCAGAACTACCACCAATCCGGACATCATCATTCTCTTCCGAGTTATCAATTGAAAAGAATCGCAATTCGTCTCGCGATACGGCAGCCTCGGAAGGCCCCAAGTCCAAAATCGTCTGGGTGGTTTGCGAACAATGCAATGCTAGCCGTCGCGTCACAGACTCGGTGGGCGATCCAACGAAGTATTTCAACAACATCTATGGTACTCTGGAGAAGCCTAATCACGACATGATTGTCAATGGCCGAAGACGCTTTCCATTGGCTGTAAGGAATCCAAGACTAAACTCTAATCCTACGACAGCATCATCTGGATAAGGAGGCTTCTTTTATCCAATTCTCATGGAAGGCAGAATTCGAGGCATACGAGCTTGACTTGAGCAGCATGTATAGGTGAGCTCTTATGGCGGAAGTATGGATGAGTTGGTTCCTATCGGGTTATATGGTATAAACTTGGTTTGGTGGATGGATATTTCTAGCAGATTGCGCATGTAGTATGTCTGCGCATATGGCACGACTGTATGGATATGGACTCTAGATATTGACTTTACACGCGAACATTGTCCAACATGTATGATCTATCTTCGCTGGCGCACAACAAGTATCTATGACAAGGCAAGTACAGCCACTACCCGTAGAGCAACCAGTAACATGACCACCAACCGTGACCACGTCCGTCGTTTGTTACAAACAAAAGAAGTCATCAGCATCAATCAAGATGAAAAAAGAAAGCAAGAAAAAAAGAGGCGATCTGATGAACTGCTTCATCTTGAGGAATAGAACCCCACGCGGGGGTCGAACCCGCAACCTTTAGATTCCTATACTTCATCTTTGGAAGACGACAGTATCTATAGAAGTCTAATGCTCTACCATTGAGCCAGCGGGGCCTTGGCGAATGATGACTCGCATCACTTTTCTTGTTGGAAAAATGTTTTCTTAATGAGAACTAACAAGTACAGTTCATCATTTCGGAATGAAGGGAAGAGAAAAATTTTCAGATGAAAGAGAAAAGTCTTCAAAATCTGGATGCGTGGGTCATACTAATAACCTTGGAAGTGACCCACGATGGCAGGAGTTGTGGGGAAAGAAGCGTGGCCGTGGTTTGCTAGACCTACACTACATTAGCTTGATATGCCGATCGCCTTGCTGGGCTCATCACCTTGCTTGTCTTTACTAACTGGCCCGCTTGCTTAGTTGAAATGACTTTATCCTCAATAACGCGATAATTGGTTTACAGCTGAGAATCTCTTTTTACGACTGTCAAGGAACTCTTACATGGAAACTTAGATGCAGTCAGCTTGTGTATCCCTTCTTATTGCATTGACTGACAGCGGCGATGTCACTCGTCCTAGTTTCACCCAAGTCGGCTCTGCCACCTCGAAGTTCGGTTCATGAAACCGTATGCGGTGCTACATCCGCCAAGAGAAGCGGGAATACGAGGATTGCGGTGAGAAGGGCGCTCACCAGCGATGGATTTGCGATCCTGATGTTACACCCAACCTTTTCGCAATCGCTCTGTTTGATCATGATATCAAACAGCGACCTCTCGTACTTCTTCTGGAGCGAGTGTCCGTCACTTTTTCCACCTCTTTCATCACTTCTTCTTTGGTAACTTTCTTGGCAAGTGTGATACTCGGAACAGGTTGTGACTTTTACGACACCCTTTTGATATACAATAACCAAGCAGAAGTCTGTGCACGGATGTACGTATAGGAATCTTTTTTCTCCCTATGTTCCCTCTATTAAAGTTTTATATTTTCAATAGAGTTATCTAGGAAGAAAAAAGAGCAAATTGCTTTATTTAAAAGATTTTTCTACGTACTTTCATTATTCTTTCATTATTTTTATTCTTTCCGTAATCTCGTTCTTAGTACATTTTCCTCTATTTCCATCCTTGCTCTCCAGCCCATAATAGCGTTATTTCGATACAATGTAGCTGTGAACGAGGGGTCAATCAAAATTGACCACCGTGTTAATAAAGCGCGCCGATTCGTCCAGGGGATCTGGATGGTTTTTTTCGAGTATCACCTCTTCACGGCTCATCCACGATCTGGTACGCCAGTTCAGCGCGGCATACTCTGGGCACAACGGACCATTCAGCATAAGCAATGACGGACCGGACCCTTATCCAGTCGCCAAGCTTCCCAGATCATCAGCTGGAGCTCTTGGGGGAGCTTGGGGAAATAGTGGAATTCGCGAGCTGGCTCTCCCATATTCACGGTCAAAAGTCTTCATGTTGTTCAAATTGATTTTGAAGACTGATGGCTCCGATGACTGCTCGGAGGTTGGAGCCGAACGTCTCTTGAAACCACGGAGAAAGCTAGAGGCGTGGGAGTAGCGGAAGCTCACAGAAGAGCATCCTATATACTTTGCTTCTGGTATACGGAATGTTGCTGCAATCCGACAAAGAAGTTGTGCAAGCACCGAGACTTCGTCAATTCGACCTTCAAAGTGGACTTCCGTGTTTGCACCAACCCACTCAATTTGGAGTCTACTCTTTGGCCGTTGATCTGTTGTGTCGCAGAGATAGAAATTAGTGCATGAACCTATATTGACGTGGAAACGAGACGTGTTGAACTCTTTGTCCACGAGGATACTCACGCGGGGAAATGCTGTTTTCCAATGACGATTCCAAATCAGTCAAAAATTCCTTCCCGGTCTCCTTCCAAGTTGCTTGAACGTAGTCTCCGCATCGAGTGGCCCAGGAATGTGATGAGTTGCCAGTAATTGTTAACACCGGTCCTGATGCAGCATTCCCGTTAAGTTCAATCTTTTTTTTTTTTTTTTTTTAAAAAAAAGAAAAGTTCCCAACCGACGTGAAAGGTTACGGAAACGGTGTCGTCTGTCTGGGAACCGTTCTCAACTGATCGGGACAGAGCCAGGTGTCTCCAGAATAATCCTCCCAATTTCCCATGCATTTTCCACGGCTTCGTACTTTCGTTGTCGACCCCTCCTCAGAATATGCATCATATTGGTCGCTGATGATGCTGGGCTGTCGAGGTAGGGATTCATCCGGGAGCGGGAATGATTTTGGGAGAGAGTCAGCGATGATTATTGCATGGATGGTTTATTGTAGTAGAGTGGTAAGTGATGTTAGAAGCTGAATTTCCCAGTTTCCCATATTTATGTTAGTAAGTTTTCGAGCATCCTTCATCCCGTCACTACCTGCCGGCATTGGCTCGGACTTGCAGATCTTTCTTTTACCAACAGTGCAGCCGCGATGGAGTTTGGAATGCAGCGGCGAAGCTTAGATTAGAGCAACGAACTTTGGAGAGTAGTTGCCCGGAGATGGTCCAGATCAGCGGCGAACGAAGTTTGAACGATTCTGGAAGGGCAAGTGTAATCCTACAAGCCCCCCTAAATATTACCTCTGGAATATAGACCCACGGATACGTATATTAGAATGATTGCCCTGAGCTTAAGTTGTATGATATATACTTTGCTGCGAAAAACCCAAACGCTGTCTTTTGCTGTGATATCAGCCACGTCGCTGTTCTCAGCCGTACGTAGTATGATTGTATCAACATCGTCAATCGTTTGTTCAGGCGTCCCTTTGACAAGAGCAACAAAGATGACGAAAAGAAGAATCAGGTTCGTGTCATGAAAATCGAAGAGAAGAGAGTATGATTTCGAGTCGACATCGAACATTGCAATAATAGTGCAGAGAAGCTGCAGGTAGAATTATTTTGAAGAATGCCCACAAGGCTGCAATATTGCCGACTTACCCAATACGTTTGGTTGCCGAACACAAGAGTAATGTCTGCATCGCAATCGCCGCATGCACTGATTGGCACCACGGCATCAGCCTCAATAGTGGCCCATGTCGCGACCTCCCAAACGTAGAGCTTTGCCTGGTCTGGTCTATTGGCAAAATAAGCCTCTCCTTCACCTGGGATTCGATGCATGCTACCTTTCAATCCACATTATCGTGAAGATAGTAAAACTGGCAAGAATACGTGTATTGTCATGCTCGACGTTTTAAGATGTCGTATCAATCGCGGTTCCTTGGCGCAGTTCAATGATGTGTTATACTAACCAAGCAGAACTCTGCGCACTACCAAGAACAAGAGTATGGAGAAAATAGAAAGAATAAAATAAGAAAAATAAACTTATACAGGAAATCTTTTTTGAACAAAGCTGTTTGCTCTTTTTTTCTTCTTAAATAGATTTATCAAAAAATATAAAAATATTATAGAAGAAGTAAAGGGTTAGAAAGATATAGATTCTAATGTATCCGTGCGCAGACTTCTGCTTCGTTATTGTATCACTGCACAACTGACAAGCGAGGGAGTGTCACTGCAGATCTTCTGCTTGAAGTGATTTTTCAGAGCTAATCTAGCTCATTCAAAGCTATTATGATCTGGACATGAAATCTGTTCAACTTCATGTCTCAAGCCGGTACTAGAGAATACTTTGTGATGGTCTGGCTTATCTCATAGAGAAGTAGATGAGTCTCTGTGGAGGTTGCATCGGAAGTAGATAGGGACGTTGCCGTACTCGGCCGGGTCTCGGGACTCTTTCTCGACGCTATACTCTAAATCCAACTCCCCCGCTACTACACACACTATTGTACCTGGGGGCTGGGGATACCCCACAATCTTCACGACGATCAATACTAACAAGGTTAAGGCACGTAGGTTCTCATGGCAAGATAAATGTCCGAGGTTTAAGAGAAACTGTCCAGCGTGCCAGGGGTAGGATTGGAGGTTAGCATTTCAAGCAGGTTCCCAGCGGCCCGCTGCCGGCGGCAGTGCCGATTCCAATGTCCGATGCAGGTTTTCGGTGTCTGCTCTCTAAAGTTTCGTCATTCAAAGCGATGTCGCTCGGTAACATGGTCAGGTTTATATGTAATGAGAATTGGACGGGCCCGTAGAATCCAGCTTATGTCCTACTCTCCCCCTGTAACCTGAATTCACAGACCCGAAAGTGTTAAAGAACGACCCCCGGCATCATGACGTGATTCAGACATGCAATGGTGAGTTACTAATACACCGCCTGGGGTAATTGGGAGTCGGTCCTTTTTGTGATCCAGGGGAAGACAGTTCCGGCTATTCTAATCTGTAGTTACCTGTAATGCAATGGTCCACCACATGGACAGGCCGATTACATATCTGATCGGAGCACATAGACTTGCAGATCATGCCGATAAGAACCACTAGCACGGACGGGGTATGAACGGAATATGAACTTATATAAGGAGGCCCAGCACTCGCGACCAAAACGGCACTAGGCAGAGTAGCAGACTAGTTGGATGTGATTCGTTTTCTCCAAAATGAGGTCCTTCATCCACGCCGTCGCCTCCGTGTTGGCAGTCGCTGCGCCTGCGGTGACTGCTGATAACTTCACCTGGGCCAACCCTCCTTCGGAAGTTCCGTACTACGGTCTCAGTCCTCCCGTCTATCCCACGCGTGAGTTGACCTCTGATCCATGTTCATGATACCTGCGGACCCTCATATACTGAATCGGCGCCACAGCTGAGGGTAATGGAACCACCTCGTCGAAATGGGCAGATGCCTATACAAAGGCCAAGGCCCTCGTCGCCCAGATGACGCTCGAGGAAAAGGCTAACGTCACGCGCGGGTACACGGGCAGCTGCGTGGGCAACACGGGCGCCGTGCCGCGCCTCGGCGTCGGCCCCATCTGCTTCGCCGACGCCCCCGACGGCCTCCGTGGATCCGACTTTACCTCTGCCTTCCCGGCGCAGCTGCACCTGGCGGCGACCTGGGACCGAAGCCTGATGTACGAGTACGGCAAGGCCATGGGTCAAGAGTACCACGACAAGGGCGTCAATGTGGCGCTTAGTCCCGTCGCCGGCCCGGCCGGGCGCATCGTCACCTCGGGTCGCACCTGGGAGGGTTTGAGTAGCGACCCTTACCTGGCTGGAGCG